TGAAAAATGTGGACGTGTTGACGGACCGTTTGGGTAAATAATGACAATTCAAGATGAGTTAATAAGTAAACAATTTAATAGGCAATCTACTTAGGATGCCATAAAAATGTTAAGTGTGTTTACGAGTGCGATAATTTACTACGAACAACAAATGAGGCTTCGTGTCGAGTGATGCTGATCATCTGACCAAAACAGTGAGCACAACATGGTTATTATCTCCTGCAAACGCACGAATGATGCTAATCTAAAATAACACTGACTTCCCAGCAACCCAGAGTGCTATTAGGATCACAGTTCTCAAGCAAAGGTCTTGGCATCCTTCAGTCCACTCGAAACACGGTCATGGATGTTTCTCCCGCCCCAAGAATAGACATGCATGTTTTGTAATATAAAACATGCTGCAGTTTTCAAGATTGCAATCACGCACACTATCAAGGACTGCAAAACAAAAACAAACAATCCCAAAAGAAAGAAAAAACAACAACTGTAAGATGAGTTGGAATCAAAATCAAACGAGGTGCAGAGAAGATAGCAACAGTACATCATCAACCACATGGTAACAATTTTGAAAATCTTTGTTAACAGCTTTGATTTGACACTTAGAAAGGCTTCGCTTTTTCTTTCATTTTAATTTCAAGACAACTGTTATAGTGTTACTAGTTCATTCTTTTCTTTTCTTTTTTTTTTTTTTTAATAGCAGACAGCCATTTTGTTCAGACGGATATATTCTCTTCCACAGACATCTAGGTCCAACCATCAACATTTATAAATATAGATTTCTGTATATGCATGTGTGTACGAGACATCTCTGGCAGTGTTCTCACAGTTGTGTCAAGGTCTATAGTAACAAGCCTGGATGGCAATACTACCGATTAACGCTAAGAATTATGGGACATATAACATGAAATAATCAATTTTTTAAAGTATTTAAGTATACACTATGATAAATGTCTCATGTTATAGGGCAAAATAGGGTAGATTACAAATCTTGACAGCAAAATGAGCAAATACGTCGGGTCCTTACAGCCCATGTGAAGCTCTTTCTCTCTCTCCCTCCACAGACATGCCTCAGTGAGTTTAATGAGGATGAAAAATGTTCAAACTAGAACATGAAGCAACACCTCATGCTCATTCACACTCATGGCTGAACGCAGTTTCAAGCCAGGTAGATGTAAAAAGCCAAACGGCATGGAAAGTCAGCTTATGCTAAAAGCAGCCATGCACCATCACTATAACAAAAATAAACATAAAACACCTCTATAAAGCCTGTATACGGTTATATATAGAGTGAATTCAGGTATATGGTGTTATAATGCATTATATAAACAGAATTGGGCCACTCTCCAACATTGAGATCAAAAAGTGGCTCAATTTAGCCTATACAATGCATTCATAATTACTTAATAATAAAACTTATCATTTTAATGTTCTTATGAATAACTATGACTAGTTTTAATACACTATAATACTTATCTAATGGTTACACCCTTAAAAAACAACACATGAACACCAAATTCATGTTATGTTTTATAATGCATTATCGTGGTTAAAGGTGTAAACACGACTAGGCACGTATTATAAGGTATTGTGTATTAATTTGCATTCAAAACACTGTGATAGACACAGGCTTCATACAAAGTGCTACTGAATATTGGTAGTTTTGGTAATGAGCTACTGAACAGAGAGCGCTGGCTGGTGTAGATCTCCTTAATTCCTCAAAAACACAAGGAGGACTCACTGAGACAGGGAGCCTCTGAACATACGGAGCGATCCAAAGCCTGCAGGGAATTTCCATACTCTTCTGTGTGATTAGGTCTGTCTATAGCTAGCAATCACATAAATACCAGAGCTCAAGAGAGACACTCACTCAACACACAATAACACCCTCTGCAAAGCGCCGGGTCATTCTGTCTCTGATCTGCTCCCAGTTATCACAGCGTTCCTTCTTTTTGTTTTCTTAGTGAATTCTCCGGAGTGCTCTGTGCTGAGCGGCGGTAAGAGGCCAGCTCCTGTACTGAAGGACATAAATCACAAGAGGGCCTGATAGTGAGTGTGTGTGTGTGCGCGCGAGGGGTCTGTGTTTAGTCTAAGCAGGGAGATTCAGCCACGGTGTAGATAATTGAGCCCCATATTTCAGAGACCCACGGGTGATGGTCAAAACTGTGTTTGTGCGTGAATGAGATAGCAGACGGGAAGAAAGCGACAGAGATGAGAAACAGGACGGGCGTCATCAATCAGCTGTTTGATTTTAAAAACCCAACAGAGCTGCTAGTCACATTTATGTCCTCATAAGGAAGTCTATCAGCTGTAATTAAGAGCATAAAACCATAAAACACTTTACAGCTATGCAACGTATATGACTGCAATAAGATCTGTGGTGCCAAGGGTGAGAATGGCACGCGAACGGGCGTTTTCTTGGCATTGCCCATGTAAGCGTGGGAATATGTTGTTGAAGTGGCCACACTTAGCTTTAGTTAATTAGAAATGCATTAGGGTGAATCTCACAAAACACCTTAAGTACATAGTAATAGAAAATTATATCTTGCTTTAAGAAAACAAACAGACATTTTGTCTATGTTTCATGACAATTAAGGATATTTTCTACCAATTCTCATGCAAATTTAAATAAAATGTTTTACACTTATTTAACTATTATTTTGGATTTTCGGAGGATTTTTTAAAACTGTAATATAGTAATACATTAATACCATTAAGGCATTAAGGATAATGTGAATTACAATAATAATAATAATAAAACTGAATTTAGATGCCTTAAAATTCTGAGTGAAAATGTGTCATTTTTTTATGAAAATAGTGCAATTTAGTTTCCTTCTTTTTTATGCAACATATAATTTCTTATTATTTGTTTCTTTACCATTTTGGGGAAAAAATGTGACCAGGACATGTTTTTATGAGGTTCGCCCAACTACTTAAATTCTCTTTTAGTGTAAATCTTTCACAGAGACAAAACAAACATGAATCTCTAGAGGACAATATACTAGTTCTAGTTACAGCTACTAGATTAGTGACTAGCAGTACGACTCAGAGGTCTAGCCCAACAACACGTGGCAGGTTCCCTCATAACTAGTGTGCATGAGCATGAGGAGAGGTGGTATGGTGATATGGGAGCGTGCGAGAGATAGAGAGAGAGAGATGATTATATTCACTGTGATCTCGTACTGTTTGTCTTGTCTGTGGGGCTTATCGTGCAGAGAGGAATATGACTAACACAACACAGCAGGTCAGAGCCATAAACTACACACAGGCATGAACGAGGGAGGGATGAGGAGATATAGAGAGAGAAGAGCAGAGGGCACGTTACGCCCAGTGTCATCCACAGGGGAAGTCGACTCTGGACTTTAAAGCAATGGCCGATCTGTCTTATGAAGCAAACATGTTTATCACAAGTTGAATGAGGTTGTGTCTTATCACTCCTGTGGCCGGTCCAGAAACGGACACCCAATGCCATCGGATATAGACCCATATAACCATAAAGTGAAAGAGGATACACCTGCCGGCTGTGCTAACAGAGACGCCCGGGTCTGAGGATGATGATATGAAGCCAAGCAAAGAGAAAGAGAGGTGCATGATGGTACATGTGAGATTCTTGTGATCAAAGCTTGATGATATCTCACAAAGCAACCGCAAAAAACAACTTCCAACTGTTCCAAAAAAGAGAGAATGGAATGAAAGAGGAGGGTATCTAAACAGCTACTCTTATTTGACCTTATCCGTCAAGAAAAACCCCGTAGTCTCCAACTCTTTGCTTTAGAAAATTGAGCAAACTGAGAAACTACTGCCAGTCTTCATCCCAGTGTGAGACCACATAGTTTTCAAAGTACGGAATGAGTGATAGGTGCCTATTTTCCTATTCCAGTGATGTGTGGCAGCTGCTCTCTGATGATGAGGCACTTCTGCGTCCACAACATCTGTGTCGGCAATACACCCTCTGTTTTACTGCCCTCGGCTTCAGAGAGCTGGCCACGAGAAAAAAGAAAAACATAACCGAACCAAACCTGCCACATGCAAAGACAAATGTTAGCAGCAATAAACCTACAACTTCCAAGGCAAATAATTTTCTTCCTCTCACCTTTAACAGACATAAACCAGGTCTGTGGTTTCTTTAGCTGGTGACAGGTGCATGCGGGATAACATTACCCATATTGTCCGTTTCGGAACTTTTATGAACGAGACTTCGGGAGGAAATCGGCCAGTAACCGAGTCAATAGTAAATTCCCAGATGGTGGGGGTTGCAGTAATCTAAACCCGCTACTGACTACAATAGTAAAAGTATGTTTAAGTCCGCATGGACTGTCTGCTGGCACAACCGGAGCATTAACCAAATTTTGAGTGAAACCAGATGGTTCGAGAGTGCAGGAGTTTTGCCCTGCGCAAATGACCCATAATTTAACATCAGTAACAAAGCATCTAGAAAAAAGGGAGAGGAGGAGGGGGGAAAATCTAGATTGCTTCAAAACGGTTTCAAAATCCTGCAGCTTTTAAAAGCTGTGGCAATAGTATATATCAAGATAAGGAGACTATTTCCTGACCCTCACAGAGAGAACTTCACCTCCTGCAGGATGGGTTTCCAAGACAGACAACTAAATGAGTGAACATGACTTATAATACTAAGCTTCCATGCTGCCCATTTCCCCCTTTCGGTTTCTTCCTCCCCATGTTTTTGTGAGCGTAAACAGGATTCTGAAGGTGCAGAGAGGATGAATGTGGTGGTAGGGGATGGCAGAAGGAAAGCCCATCATTCCCACACCCCGAAGCCAATCCAAGCGTGCACTTGACTTGTGAGCTGTCAGTCTTTCCCGTATGTGTCTGTCCTTTGATTTGTGCATGTGGGTGAGGGTGAGAGAGTTTGTGGGCTGGCATCCTGTGAAATCAAGTGAAACACAGAAGAAAGGGAAGGAGAGGCAGGAAGAGGAGGAGGAGGCAGGGCTCGGCTCCGTGATCTGGTCCGGTCAGCAGGACTCCTCCAGAGCGTTGACCACCTGCTCCAGGATGTCCGGACAGTGATCGGCAATCTGTTGCAGGACGGCGTTTGCGTATTCCTGCAGTTCGGCACTCTCTCGTTCACACTGCTCCAGCTCGGATTCCAGCTGAGGAACCAGAGAGAAACAAAAGTGTTTATTAATATTACATATACACATCAACCTAAATCATTCTATTATTTGAGCTTCACTGTCTGATATATGACTTTACTCCTCATATGTCCAATTTGGCTGCGCATAATATTCCACAAATGTTTTGCTGCATGGAGATCTGGAGACAAAAGCGTAAAGCATTCATTGTGAACTTGGTAATGGTTGATTTTTCAAAAAATGGCATCAGATGTTAATTTTTACAATTCAAGTGGAATGTTTTATTTATGCAACAAAGTCTATTTTGGTGAATGATACCTTTAGACCCCAACCCCAACATTTTTAACATAACCCCCCCCCCCCCCCCCAAAA